TATGTTGAAAGGTGAACTTAGTACATAAGAGATTCTTGTTGTGGCCGTTAACTCTAGCCCTAGCATGCTTCAGTCTTATGCACTTAAATCTGACATCTCCAATGTCAAATCGGAGTGATGTGCAACCATAAAGTTTTAGTACAGCAGATAGTTCAGAAAAGACTTGATAGAAGTTTACTGGTAGAGGATTAAGGTGACACTGTGGGGAATGGAAGTGGAGAATTCAGTTGTGAGGAGGACTGATGAGGTAACACTTGTGGGATGGATGGGGCTCAGATTAGGTGGAATTTGGAAGGAACTGGAAGAGGTTGGGAGTAGATGGAGAAAGCTGCCCTGAGGGGCACTGGGAACAAGATACACCATCTCAACCCTTCTTTCTGTTACCTTGAGGTGACAAGATCAGAGGCCTCATTTTTCTTATAGGGGTCTCTGCCTTACTGTATGCCTTTTCCCATGTATATTCTGGTATAAGAGAGAGTGAACCTTCTCTGCACATATGCTTTCTAATGGGATCCACATTTCCTTACTTCCCTAGCTCCTCTGCTGTATGGTAAAACCCAGAATCTTAGCTAGCCTTGAAGATAATGCAAATATAAACTACTGAGCACCGGGAAATTAAGAAGCAGCTGTGAAGATTGTACAGGTTGGGAACAGGCAGGCTTAGTGGGCTAGGACTGCAATTACGAATACTTAGCCAAAATATGCAGAGAGATTGATGTAGTTCTTTGGGGCCACCTCCAGGATATTGCAGGCTGTATCTGGGGTGCCCATCCTCTGGGGAAGGTGGGCCATACAATCTTTTTTTTTTTTTTTTTTTTCCCCCCCCCGAGACATTGTCATTGGTGCCTTTCCTTATCACAACGTGTATAACCAGGATGCAGGCACCCTAGCACCACATGTTGAGCAGATGACTGCCCTTATGATAGGATGTTGGATCATTTGACCCTGTAACTATCCTGTCCCTCAACCAAATGTGTGTTAGTCAAGCGATCGGAGAGCTTGCCGTGCAGTCTGCTGGCACGTGTGCTTCTAGCCGTGTGACAAGGAGGACTTAACAGGAGGAGAGGCGGGCTGAGGCAGACTTAATTTTTTTATTCTGGTATGCTGTAGTTTGGGCATCTATAGAATGCTTCATGGTCAGGAGAGTGTGCGGCCCTAGCAAGCTGCTGCTTGTGAAGAGACTGGACATCTGCCGGTCCACTGTACAGAAGTACTGGGCTGTGTTGAGACAGTAAGGTTCAGTTATCTAAATTGCTAATGGCTTAAAAGTTCCACCATGTGGAAATAGTGAGTAGCGGCACTGGTTGTGTGTAAGTTGCAAGAGGTGTGTGACAGAAGAGTTCACCAACTTTTGCAGATGTAGTGCCTTTGTGCACGTGGCCAGAACTCTTCCAGCCGTGACAGAGTGGAGCTGATACCCAGCTCATGTCAGAGCAAGGGACCCTTTCACTGCCTCAGTCCCTCTCAGGGCTTGATCGGGTAAGTATTCACAAGACATAATGAAATATGGCTCCTTCAAAATGAAATGTAGCTACTCTTTATTTTAAAAGATGTACTTTGCACTACTCACCTTTGATAATATAGCCTAGTAATTGACAGTCTTAGGAACTGGGGGATCTAGTTTCAGTTCCCTCCATTGTCTTCTAGGATTAAGCTGTCCATTTCCATCTCCTAAGAGAACAGCATCTTGGGGGGAACTTCCTGTGTCACACATCTAAAGCCTTGACCTAAAACTAGGTTTGGGGAGAGGGGGAGGTTTGGCCCTTTATCATGATTACCTTCTGATGGTCCTGACAGGGTAGTTCAGAATATCACTGCTCCAATGGTCAAGTTTTCCTTTCATTTCCAGCCTTATGATTCCTGGTTAGATGATGGCTCTTCCCTCCTCCCCCCCCCCCCCCCCCCCCCAGCTTCTCTCTGTTCTCTGCCCAAGGTATTCCTCCTCTGTGGTGTTTATAGAGAAGGCAGAGTCCCCTGTCAGCCTTCTGATTGTTAAATTTAAATTACCAGTCTATTTTTTTTAATTTTTCTTGCATGATAGCTTCTCTGTTATGTGATCATAATACTCTTTTTTGTTTGTGTTTGAATTAATCTTCTGATAATACCAGTGGCCACATTACAGACTCCTGAACAGTACTTAGTGCTTCTGGAAAGACTACTCTTGATGCTTTCTACTGTTGCATTTTTCTTTTTCCCAGTTGTATTGCATTTGGAACTCTGTAGTGATCAACCAGTATACTCTGTTTCTTCTCAGTTTATAACTGATGAAATCTCAGCTAAAAATTCCCAAGGACCTAATCCCTAAATGGATGCACTTGCATGTTATAGTACTGAATTTCATTCATGTACCATTATTCCAGATTTACAGATTTTTCTGTGCTATCCCAGTTACCCTCTTGATGATGCTTACTTAATTGTGTCTCATATATGTATAATTGATATGCTCCTTGGTTTTTTTGTACCAATTTTGTTCCAAAGAAATTTTGTTAAAAGACACTACCGGTAACTCTCCTCCAGCCTCATGAACTTCTTCCAATACCACCAATAGCAACTTCCATTTATTCAGCTCCCTCTACTAATCCTTGCTAATCTTAAGGACTAGGAGCAATCATTTCACACACAGAACTTTACTGAATGTTATACCAAAGTCTGCATAGATAAGATGTGCCATATTTCTTATTTCTAGAAATCAGTTTGCAAAGGCATTGTCTGCCTTTTACTATGACCATGCTATATTTGATCCTCTTTTTTATTTACATCATCATTCATTAAGTGCCCTAATTTATGTTATGGGCCACTCTGGGAAGGGCACTCTCCTCCCCTTCTGTTGAGCCTTGTATATACTTCGCAGAAGAGAATCCTAGCGTCAGAGGGGCAAGAAAGGCACCAAAATGTTCAAGACTTCCTGTCTTTGCCTGGAAAGAGGGATGTCTTTGAATCCATGTGTGTTGAGGGAGGTGGTTTAAATTTAAGAAACATACCATGGATTTGTATTGGTTCTCTCACTGCTTTGTTCTGCTTTCTGCTGTTTCATCTTTTGCCAACATCTCTAGGCTGTTCTTTTCACCATTTTCTCCATCCTTTTGCCAACGAAAATACGTATATCTTTGTATATATAACTGTGAAAAGCATTATATACGTATGGAACTAAGAGATCTGAAAGAAATGTTGTTGTTCGGGATATCATGCCACCTTTGAAGAATTAGGCTAAAGAGCAAGAGCCTTCAACTGTCTCGAGAAACACACATGCACACACATAGCAAATGTATACGTTTGTGGAATAAGTTCTGCTGAATTTCCTAAAGTGTTCTAGCTCCAGCAGTTGTACCAGATGTTGGTAAGGATGAAAGCTATTGGACTTAAGTTTCTGAAGGTAAGGAAACAAAGATGGAATTTGAATAAGGTCAGCACTGGTAAGGCCACATCTGGAGTACTGTGTCCAGCTCTGGGCTCCCCAGTATGGGAGAGAGACAGAGCTACTGGACAGAGTTCAGTGAGAGGCCACAAAGATGATGGACTGGAACATCTCTCCTGTGAGGAAAGGCTGGGAGAACTGGGATGGATCAGCCTGGAGTAGAGAAGGCTCAGAGGGAATCTCGATCACTGTGTATAAATACCTGAAGGGAGGGTGCAAAAAAATGGAGCCAGGCTCTTTCAAGTGGTGTCCACTGACAGGACAAGACATCCATCTAAATATTGAATATTCAAGGACACACAGGAGAACATTGACATTGAAAATTGTGGTATTTTACAACTTTTTTTGCAGTAACTTCATGTCTGAAAAGGATTCTACTGGTTTTGGTTGGGATAGAGTTAATTTTCTTCATAGTAGCTTGGATGGGGCTGTGTTTTGAAAGCAGTGCTGGTAACACAGGGATGTGTTAGTTACCGCTGAGCAGTGCTTGCACAAGTCAAGGGCTTTTCTGCTTCACACCACCCCACCAGTGAGTAGGCTGGGGGTGCACAAGGAGTTGGGAGGGGACACAGCCGGGACAGCTGACCCCACTGACCAAAGGGATATTCCATATATACCATATGGCATCATGCTCAGCATATAATGCTGGGGGAGAAGGAGGAAGGGGGGGACGTTTGGAGTGATGGTGTTTGTCTTAAGTCACTGTTATGTGTGATGGAGCCCAGCTTCCCTGGGGATGGCTGAACACCTGCCTGCCATGGGAAGGGGTGAATGAATTCCTTGTTTTGCTTTGCTTGCGCACACAGCTTTTGCTTTACCTATTAAAACTGCCTTTATCTCAACCCACAAGTTTTCTCGCTTTTACCCTTCCGATTCTCTCCCCCATCCCACTGTGGGGGAGTGAGCGAGCAGCTGCGTGGGGCTGAGCTGCCGGCTGGGGTTAAACCATGACAAGGACGTAAGCTGCTGGTGTAACTGCAAACTTTAGAGGGCCAGCATCTTCCAGGAAGTTGTAAAGAACCATTTGGATTGATGAAAGGACCCTGTTGTAAAGCTGTTGATAAAAATGAAACATGAATAAATTGACTTCTAAAAAGTGGTTATATTTTTGTCATATAATGTATCACAACAGTGTACATAATGTCAATACTGTCAGTTACGCATATCTTATTTGTGAGGTTTGAATTACAAAATAATGTAAACTTTTTCTGGTGACTAGACTATCAGTCTTGATTATTATTCTGTTTTACCCAGTTGTCTTTGTTGTTATTTTTCTGCCTGAGTTTTCTCAATAATATATTAATTCCTGTATAGTAAAGCAAATCCTGTATTTTAAATCCTTACTTTTAATAAGAATGGTAGAATATTATGGAGATAGCACTGCACACAGTTTAAAACGTTTGTATTAACCTGAAGGGAAAGCAAATGTCCTAATAGTCCTAATAAGGAGAGAAATACAGCAAAGTCAACTGTGTAATAGTTTCTTCGGCCTGTAAAACTAACCAGGAGAAACCTATATGCACGTGTTTGGAAAGGTCTGTTGCAATCTTTTAAAGTTAATCTAATTCTCAATTATGTGCTGTAGGAGATGAATACGACGTATGTGCCATTTGTCTGGATGAGTATGAGGATGGAGACAAGCTGAGAATCCTTCCATGTTCTCATGGTAAGCACCTGTGTTTTAATCTCTAAAACACCATGTCTATAAATCACAGTGAATATGTTTGATTTATAAAATGTATTTTTGCTAGTATGCAGGAGTGCACGTACAAATTAGGAAAAGAGCAAACTTTTTTTCCTTTTCTTAAAAGCAAAAAGAGCTAGCATTCCCACTTTGCATTTTTCTTTGGATGTAACCATGAAAGAAAATCTGGGCATCATGCTGTCCCCTAAATGCCTGTATTTAATAGGGAAACACATTCCAGAGTTACCTTTTACATTAAAAAAAAAAAAGGCTTTCACTTTCTCCAAGACAAACCATAAAACGTAATTCAGGTATTAGTGACACAGAGATATGGATGAAGGGATATAGTCTGTAGTCTGAAGCCATATGGAATGCTGCCTTGATTGCACTTGGAAGTCAATGTTGTCAGTGAAAAAATTAATGGGATATTTTTTACTGTGACAAGTTGTGCACTGTTGGAACAGTGTTTCCCAAATACAGCCCACTGCAAAAGTGCATCTATATACATATCGACCCACAAGACAAGACTGCTCTTAACTGCATTACGAGTACGAGAAGTATTTGAAGAGCTTATACCTAGAAATCTGGAAGAGGCCTGGGCCCAAGTGTGTCTCTAAATTTAAACTTTTTTTTTTTTTAAATAAAAGCTGTATAAAATCTATCAGGAAAGAGAATTCATTCTTCCTAGCTTGACACCCTTTTTCTACCTGTACGTTAACTGTATTACAACCATTTTGGCTGGGTGCAGTTTTACCCAGCTTAAAAGGCAACTGATGTTACAGCCTTACATGCACAGTGAGCACAGCGGATGACAGACTGAGCTTTGTAGATCTTCATTCATAAAAAAATAATTTCAAAACAGGCTGACGAACAAGAAGTTCTCAGAGGAGAAAGAACAGATCCATAGAATCTGTCCCAGCTAGGGACTGCAAAGTTAACTAATCCTGATCACCAATATCAAAGATTGCTGACAAATAAAAATAAAAAAACCAAAACAAAACACCACTGTCAGTTCTTGTGGAGAACATGCTGCTAATGTGCTTGAACAGATACCAAACACAACGTGCTTGCCCATGTAAATACCTCGCTCTTTGCCAGATAGAAGTCTCTGTTAATAAATAGAGCTAAGTTTTTAATACCGTAAGAAAGACACTTTCAAACTTTTTTTTAAACAAGGCCAGTATAGTTGCAATTCCAAATGTAGACCTAATTTAAAATCCGCAAAATCACGTGGTAATTTTATTAATAACAAGGTGCTTTGATACAATCTTGGTGGAGGTTAGAGGTGTTATGAGGATAACTATGGTCGGCACATCAGCTGCAAGGCAGCTGTAATTCCTCAAGAAGCTTTTAAATTTTATTTTGTCAATGCGGCCCATTGCAGGACTGCTCTCAGATTCATTCATCAGAGGAAATAGGTTTTTATTGCATATATCCATGTGGCTGAGATCCTAATCTATTAGATGTTTTGTACATAAGGATAGACAGCCTACGTGCCAACAAACTTCTAACTAAAATTCTCTGTATGAGTTAAATTCTAAAATTCTCCAATTGGTGCTACTAACCATAAATACAATTTAGCATAAATATAATTTGCCCTTTTTACATAGATAATGATGTACTTGTCTTTTTTGTTTTTTAACAGCGTATCACTGCAAGTGTGTGGACCCATGGCTGACAAAAACAAAAAAAACATGTCCTGTATGTAAGCAGAAAGTGGTCCCTTCTCAGGGGGACTCTGACTCTGAAACAGACAGTAGTCAAGAAGAGAATGAAGTATCTGAAAATACTCCTTTGCTTAGACCATTAGCCTCAGTTAGTACTCAGTCATTCGGGGCTTTGTCAGAATCTCATTCCCATCAGAACATGACCGAGTCCTCAGAATATGAGGAAGATGACAATGACAATATTGATAGCAGTGATGCAGAAAATGGAATGAACGAAGAAAGCGTAGTGGTTCAGCTACAGCCCAATGATGAAAGGGAGTACAGAGTGGCAAATACTGTTTGAGACTACTAACTATGAATAGTGTATGAACAAAAGGGTTCTTAAGACTATAGTTTACAAACCTTTATGTAGGGAATATATTTTAATCTGTAATCCATTCAGTTTCTTCAGTAGGAGCAGCAGTTCATGTAGTATTCTATGGTTAAATTGTTACAGATAGATTTATTTTTGATTCAGGTATTCAGTCACACATTCTGTCTTCTCAAAATGAACAGTTTAACTGGACTTCACAATGCTAATGAACAATGTTAATAGTTTATATCAATAGAAATATCACACAGATTCTAAATGTATCTTGTTGAAATGGGATTTATCTGGAAGTAATTTTTTTCAATTTTGTAGCTACAACTGGGTCATACTGATAGCAATATTTATTACATGTATGGTATGTGTTACCTTTAAGCCCAACAGAAAATGTATTTGCATGTTTGTATAGAGTTTTCCTAAAAAATGTCACCACTACTGAAAGAAAAATGTAGAACAGATCAATATTCTATATGCTGGTGTATCAAAACAAAGCAGAAGAAATTCCACTTTTATCTCAAAGCAGCAATTCCAAATAATCCTTTGGAATTTGCCACAGTAGCCAAGTTTAAGCAGTTTCCATCGAGCAATTCCTAGGATAAGGAAACTTACCAGTTTGAGTAGTTCACAAGGTAAGATCTGGTCCACCACAAACACATCAATTATCCCTACTTGCTACTACGTGTAGTCTGGTTTCCAGTGATAATGTGGGAGTTGGGGGGTGACCAAAACAGAGGTTTTGTTCCACGTAGAAAAATAATGTAGGTAAGTATTCTATTGATCCTCAACTCATATACCTCTTACTAAAGAACATTTTATGCTGCGTTAGTCTGCTAAACTATGTATATAGAAAAATTGTTCTTTTCAAATACCTGATTTGAAAACAAGTGCTTATAACTGTTTAACAGAACTCAGTACTTACCAGTGTATCATGAAAAAAGTAAATGATATATAATACCTCTGTAACTATGTAGAAAGTAAAAACATACATATAATCAAAATGCAGAGATTTTTTTATATGGCCTTGAATGAGGAAAGCTTGAAAGAATGTTAATAAACATGTTTTCCACTTTATGTATCAAATGGAATTTATTGAACTTTTGCATTACTTACATTCATGGTGTACTCTTCTGTGTTTATCACTAAGGTTCCAGAACACGGAACTGTTAATGATCCCTTAGTAAACATTAACCTACATTGTGCTGTGCGTTGTGGTACAAAGTGCTGTACTGATCAATACTGTATGGAGGAGGACTAAGTTACATAGAAAACCTTCATTTTTGCTCACTTTTAGTTTGAGGAGAAGTCTGTACATGTAATTTGGGGGGGTGGAGAGAGAAGGAAGACCAGAGCGGTATTAATATTCCTGCCCACCGTGCCAGCGCCTTTAGAGCTGCAGCCTGTGAGTGAGCCTGTGTTCTGCAAATTGGGCAATGCCAAATCCTGGGCTGAGGCGATTACAGGTGAGGCATTTCATTTCTTTCTTCTGACCTAATACACAGTGCAGCTGCACCCTCCTTCAACCTGGCAATGGAAATCAATCCTCTGGGACTGGCTAAGGGCAGAGAAAATTTATTTTTCGGAATGCGGCATGGTAAAAGGATAATAATGAAAGAATGATTCATCTTCAAACCAGCAATCCATGGGGTTAATGACAAACAATGTAGTATTATATTTTCGCCATGTAAAATTCCACTTCAACTTGCACATGTCTAGTTATGTGCAAATGTGAAAACTTACCAAGCTGAAAGATGTTTCCTAAAGTAGGTTCCTGCTGTTCGTATGTTACGAGTGCATGTGTTTGTTCATAATTGTATTTCAGGCACCCCAAAACCTGAAGAGAGCCAGAACCACGAACCGAAGTAAACTTTATAATGTATGCTATATTTAACTCTGGTTGTAGTATTTGCTGCAGTGACAAGTAAAATTACACTCTTTTTATCAGTTTCTCACCTGCTACTCTCCATGCTGTACAGACAAAATGCATGCAGCAAAGGATATTCTGTTTCCATCTCAAATGTACTGTACATTTTTTCTGTTCCATTTTCTAAATTTCCTAATGGTTTTAATCACATCTCTCTTGTGCCACAGATACAGTTTACTTGTCAGTTGCCATTACCAGCAAAAATGAAAATTAAAGAAGGATTAGCACTTTATTATAAGAAATACTTCAGAAGGTTAAGTATCTCTTAGCATTCCTAAGTAGAACTTGCATATTTCATAAACATGTGCTGGATAAATCTTCTGACTCAAGAGGTATGGCCTGTGTAAAGCCACAGGAAAAGACAAATACGGATTTTTCTTTGGGCTGTGACCTACTACATTATCCACATGAAGCAGCACTGTTTCCTCACCGTACACCATGAATGGTTGTTTGCTTATGTGAAGTCTGATCTAACTTCAGTCTTTTGCTGTCTGAGAACAGGATGTTGGTGCTGTAAAGAGGTTTGTACTTGATTGCATAGTTGAAAAAAAAATCTTCTACTAAGTAGTTGTAACTAGTGCCTGCACTTAAAAGTATTTCATAGGATCTCTGAAGCATGTCATCTCTCCACATAAAACAGCACAGGTATCAGTGGCAGCTATCACAAAACGTTATTTGTACGACCAGTATAAATAGCTCCTTACAAAGCAAGCTTGCACTAAGCCTTTCCTTGCGTAATGAGAATAAAATACTTGGAAAAGGAGCCAAAAGAGGACAGGAATTAAAAGTGGCCCTCAAAGGGGAAGGTAAGCTTTCATTTGTTGGGGAGGGTGCCAAGAATCCAGTAAAAAGCGACTGGAAGAAGTGATGGGTCTGACAAGTGTTTTTCTTGAGAGGTCAGTAATCAAGGAATGGAGAAGACTTAAATACAAAACTATCCTCCCCCCCCCCTCGACAGCACAATGGTGGGAGAGTGCCAGGGCCAGTGTGTGAACAAAGAGTAATAATGGGTACCTACATGTAAAATAATACCATGAATATTAAAAATCAGATGTCTAAAAATGCAATGCCATCAGCAGTTCAGAACAGTTAGAATTTGGTAGAAACACATTCATTATAAAAGTAACCCTTTGAAAGGCTAAGTAATAATGGCTGGTATAATGAAAATTGTGAGTTGTTATGGTGCAGAAAATAAGCATGCTGACAATTCACTTTGTAAGTGTACTTCAGAGAAAGTATGGGACTGATTCGAAGGGCCTGGCAGTCAGCATTAAAAACTTGTAAAGCCCTGATACTCTGCACATAAATGCAGCCCTCATCCTCTTCCGGTGTGTGCCATGCAATCTAAGGGGCATAAACAATTTGGTATAGCAGTAACCCTTCAGAAAGTGAAGCAGTTCAGCCAATAGTGAATTATCTTCCCAAGTCTGAAGAGAGACTGAACAACTTGAGAACTACCCATAAAAAACACACCACCCTTTAAAACAATTCTGCCTCTTCTCTATATTCTTTAGTTTGTACAGCTTTCCTATTCCTTTCTCCTCATCTGTTTTGTAAAACACTAATGTAAGTTCTGTTCTGACATCAGTTCTGTTCTTTTACCCAAGCCTTGAATAAGAACATATGCTACAGAAGGAGAAAAAAAAAAAAGGGGAGGGGGGTGGTGCTCTAGCTTCTTTATGGTTGGGAACTGCTGACTAAGATGCAATAACTTCTGAAGCATATGAGCAATTGGAGAGCTGTTTTTATAAAATGGCAGGCACTGTAAACCACAGTGAATGAGTTTGGGCGCTCTACTGGAAGTTGAAGAGCCAGCAGGTATCAGAGACAGCTGTATGCAAGTGAAGTTTCTACTAAAAAAAAAAAGTTTTTCATGGACTAGCAAGAGGGTAAAAAAGGAAAAAAAAAAAAAACCCACCCATGAGAACAAACCTCATGAGAACTACACAGGTCAGGCATCTTCACTGCCACAATGTATGAATACTTTTACTAAATCCTGAATGGTAAAATTGGGGGGGGGGGTACAGCCTCATAAACTCTGTGACCGCTGAAGTGGTTGGAACAGTACTGATGTAATGTGGGCAGCAGCCTGAACCCTAAGTGCAAGAGTAGGAAAAGAGGTGCATGGTACTGCACAGGACTTCAATTCGGCACATAAACTCAGTTACCCACACAGAATTACTTTGTAAAGTCTGAGATACAGTGAAACGCTTTCTCCTAACTTTTTGTAAGGAAAAAAATATGCAAATTTCTGAACTAGTCACAATTTTAGTGCTCAAACCTTTAGCATAGGAAAATAACCTGTTGCATTTAAATTTTCTATTAATCTGGACCTGACAGTTAAATGTAAAATTTGTTGAGAGTCCAGGTAATTCAAGGAAGCTATTTTAGGTAGACCCTAGCACATTAGGTGCCCAGACACCATTCTGCTGTGTAAATTCAACAACAAATGCATTTGAAAAAGTAATCTGTGAAACAACTAATTCTTACCAAGTACTTCTTACCAAAAGTATACAGGTGCCATACATCAACTCCTGCAGACACCTGCTCAGGAGAGGGGAATTGATCAGAAAGGAACAGTGTTAATTAAGTAAATGGGATGAAAAGTACTTGGCAGCTCAGAGGCAGGAATAGCAGTTAGCAGTGCACACCATTACAGTGAAGTCCAGCTATGGCCTTATTACAGAAATGCTTTGGGGATGGACACTACTCCCCTAGCCAGAAAAAAAAAATAAAATCCTGCAGTCAGACTGCGAGTGCAATTTTTGATTTGGATTTAGACAAAGTTTTGGTACAGAGCAAAACACAGATTCACATGCTCACAATTACGGGGGGGGGGGGGGGGGGAGGGGTGTTGGGGGGGGGGGGAGTGAGAGGTTTGCATCCTCTGTACTATTCACTACTAAATGTAAACTTGCTTAGGGCTATGGGCTTGTTCTGGGCTGTTCTAACTTTAGCACTAAACAGATACAAGTTTAGACAGTAAGCAACTCAAGGAGTCGAAGATAAACACTGTGTATGTAAAGGTTTCAGTTAGATGGGGAGCTAGTGACGTACAAAGGAGCAGATGCAACACCTACCCTGAAGATGTAGAGGAAGATGAGGAGAAGAAAGGCATTTTAATGGCAATGCCCAAGCCGCGCACAACCAGCAGTGGAGGACCGAGAAAAGCAGAGCCTTAGCTAAAGATTAACCTTCTATGCTTTGGGCTTTTCTTTCTGCCCCCCCGCCCAGCTCCCATTGTTCACCACACAGCTCCCCAGTGCCATTTAACAAGCACTGCAGGGCCCCTGGTTTCACTTTGACTGAAGTTACATTATCATACTATTGCTGTCTGACAAAACTTACAACTGCACTTGTATCTAGTGTTGGTGTAGTCAGCCATGCAATGACGAAGGGCCTCGGAAGACTCCTGTGGGGGGAAAAAAATTACCAACAGTCTGATTTTGTTTGGTTGGAATAAATTTATTTCATCTGTCTGTAAACAAGGTGTTTTTAATAGTTATGGCATTTTTTGAAATGCATATTAAATCAGATGAGTTAGACTGTATCCCAGATGTAACAAAGTGCAGGGAAAGAAATGGACAAATCAGCAACAAGAATTTGTTTAAATCTGTACATTATCCACAAGGCCCAACAATAGAAGCAAATACTAGAATGTCCCTAAAGTAGTGCCATTCGAAAGAAACCCTCGTAGTCAGTTAAAATCCATCTCACAATAGCAACAGTTCATTTTTTTTTTTTTAAACAATAGTATGGCACAGAATACATAT